TTATTGGCATTCATTGCTTCTAGGCCATTTTTATGGAACTGAACTAGGAAGGTTTTTTAAAGAAAAATATCAGAAGTTCATAATCTTATTTGTATTTAAGTTAATTTGATTTTACACATATACTCTTTTATACTAGAAATCTTTGTTCTGAATAACAGTGATTACTTTTTCCTTTGCACTATAGTGTACATCAAAGAGTTATGTACACTTGCCAATGAGTCAATTTCGAATCACAGTGACTTAGTAGGGCTGAGTAGAACTGCCCTACAGAGTTTTCTAGGCTGTAAACTTTACAGGAGAATGCCACAGCTTTCTCCCTCAGAGTGCTGGTAGGTTTGAACCACTGACCTTTTGTTTAGTTTGTTGAGACCTTAATCACTGCACCACCAGGATTTCTAAGAGTTGTTTGTTGTTGTTATGTGCCGTTGAGTCGGTTCCGACTCACAGTGACTCTGTATAGGGTTTCCGAGGAGTAGCTGGTGAGCTTGAATTGCCGACCTTGCAGTTCAAACCAACTTTGCAGTCCAGCATATTAACCCGCAGCACGACATGGGCCTGGTTTTTTAAAGTGTCTGAGATGTTGAAACTTAATATTTGGAATATAAGAAAGCATCCAAAATATATTTGTATCATTGAAAACATAGCCAAAAACTTATGGAAGAAGACTACCTTTCTGGGGCATTAATCATTTAGAAGGGCTTCAGTATCTCATGAAAGAGTTGATAGATGTTTTTAAAAACGTGGTCCTATGACGCACATCACTAGTATCAAATGGTAGTATTAAAGAAATGCATAATCTCAGATCATCTCAGACCTACTCATTGATAATTGTCATTTTTTTTTTTTTAATGTTTTGTTCATTGTGTGATAGTCTACATGGGAGAACATCAGCTTTACATTCATTCCATCATCCATCATTTCGTTGGCATAGTTATCCTGTCCATGCATCCTCACCCAACCAAGGGGTGTACCCTGTAAACCTGCACCCCCCCCCACAGTCCTCAGCCCCTTTCCATCTCCTGATCCCAAGCCCCCAGCCCCACCATCTCTTGACGTTGTCTTCTCTGTCTCCATCCCAGGCCTCACTGCCTCTCTGGGTAGGATAATAGTCATTTTTAACTAGATCTCAGGTGTGATCAGAAGTCCTGGTGTGGAACTGTAGGATAAGCACTCAACCACAAGATCAGTTTGAGCCACAGGGTTGGTGGTTCAAACTCACCAGCTGTTCCTTAGAAAGAAACCCTATACAGATTTGATATGAGTTGTAATCAACGTGATAGCACTTAACAATAATAACAGGTGATTCAGCTGAACATTTAAGTTAGATAATCTGTGATGTACTTATTCTGAATTTATGACTTTAAGGACAGTTTCCCTCTTTAAGTGATTAATCATATTAATTGATGCTTAAAAAACTTAGATATCAGAAAGACATAATAATGTGTGCAACTGAGTGTACTCAATGAAGTCCTAAAGATAAAGAATTTTAAAAATGCAATTCAAACATTTTGTTAGATTAAGATTGTTATTAAGATCAAAATTGTTTATTTATTTTTATATTTAGGCATAGAAGACTACTCTTTTTTTTTTTTTATTGTGAATTATGTGATAGTTTACATAGGAGAACACCAGCTTTACATTCATCCCATCGCATTTCATTTCATTGCAATGATCACAATCTCCTCCATGCATCATCAAACAACCAAAGGGTACAACACGCAAGTCTGCCGCCCATCCATCAGCACACAGCCCTTCTCCCTCCCTGAGTCCAGAGTCGCCAGCCTCTCCATCTGTCCACGTCATCGTTTCTGCCTCCATTTCTGGCATCACTGCTTCTCTGAGTATGTTCCCACACTCCACTCTTCTCACTTGAGGGTCCCGGGTACCTCTGCTCTTAGACTGAAAACTCAACCACTCCCCTCCTTTTGTTACAAAACATGTACCTTTACATTTCTGACCCTCACAGCCAGTCCTGATTGCAGTTATTCACAATTGTACCACAAGAGTCCTATCCCCATCTCCTTTCATCAGCCCCATCCCAACAGATTGGAAACCACTCAGTGGAGATTCTATCTTCCCCCTCCCCCTCTGGAACTAGGCTCCCTCTTGAAAGCTTGTAAGCCAGTCACTTCTTGCCTTGGTAGCCCCTCCCCCATTTTGGGTAGCTAATGTCTAAGATGCCCATCCCTATTAACCCTGTGTACTGAGGGGTGAGAATGATCCTCGCTGTAAAGATTAGTTCCCTCTTTTGAGCTACTACATCCATAAGTATAGGTCAAGTTCATCAAATTGTAGCAGATTACTCTTTTTTTTTCCTCTTCTTTCTTCTTCTAGTTAAGTTCTCATCATCCAGCCATTGAAGCCTTGTCAGGTGGGTATTGTCTGCAAGCATGGGTGTTCTTGTTCATCTTCTCTGGACGCTTCACTCTCTGCTGTAGTCCTCTATGGCCATGTCACTCTCTCTGGGCCCAGGAGTCCCCAGGCCTTGCCATACTGCTGGCCAACCAGGTCTCAACCTGGGTTCACAGGAGTCTATTGAATGAGGTCAGACCCAGCTCACAACTTCATTGCTGTTTTTGCCCCACTTCCCCTTATCTGTGACCAATGTGGTCACCAGCCAGACCACATGCCTGCTTGTGTATTTCCTTTGAGTCTTAGTCTTGTAAAGGGGTTTTCTCTGAGGGGATCCGACCACTTGTCTTGATGGCTTCTGGGCAAACAGCTTGCTTGTTCTTGTAGTAGTCAATCAGACTGCCGTTATTGTTTTTATTTTTCCTGCTGGTCTTTAAGAAGACTACTCTTTTGAAGCACTAGTCACTTGTTAGGTTGTTGTTAGGTGCCATCAAGTCAGTACTGACTCATAGCGACTCGATGCACAACAGAACGAAACACTGACCTGTACTGGGCTAACCTCACAATTGTTGCCATACTTGAGCCCATTGATACTGCCATTTTGCCTGGGGGTCTTCTTCTTTTTCTCTGACCCTCTACCCTACAACACATGCTATCCCACTTCATCAACTGGTCCCTCCTGACAATATGTCCAAAGTCTGGACATCCTGGCCTCCAAGGAGCACTCAGGCTGCACTTCTTCCAACACAGATCTGTTAGTTCTTCATAGGCAGCCCATGGCACTTTCGATATTTTCCTCCAACACCGTAACTCAAATGCATGAATTCTTCTAGGGTCTTCCTTATTCACTGTCCAGCTTTCACTTGCATATGAGGTTATTGAAAATACCATGACTTGGGTCAGGAGCACCTTAGTCCTCAAACTGACGTCTTTGCTGTTTAACACTTTAAAAAGGTCTTGTGCAACAGATTTGCCTAATGCAATATGTCATTTGATTTCTTGACTGCTCCTTCCATGAGGGTTGATGGTTGATCCAAAAAGTCTTTGACAATTTCAATCTTTTCTCCATTTATAAGAATGTTGCATACAGGAAGAAAACAAAAAGACGTTAAGAAGACAAGAAAAAGGAAAAGATCAAAAAGAATGTCAGATGAGACTCTGAAACTTGCTATACTAGTCACTTAAGGAGGGCTTTAATATCTTAGAAAGGGTTGATGGAAAAATAGTTTAATAATACTTTACTATATAGCGGCTGTCTCTTCATTTACCATGAATGCAGAGAATCACTCATCTCTAATAACTATTTTGATTGATGATATCTTATCCTTTGTCTCATTCAAAAGGAATTTAAGACAGCTTTATAATTTTTCATGTAAACCAGTAATTAAAAGTACTCAGGTATTTATGTAATAGTTACATATGAGGGTAAGTAAAAAAGTATTGCTATAATCATTGAGATGAAACAATATGTATTTTTTAGTTGTAAAACTGATGCTCGACTCTGTAAACCTCCACTCAGTTCACAATAAAAACCTTTTTTTAAAACATGCTGCTATAAAACCATAGTTGTTGTTGTTGTTACATGCCTTCAAGTCAGTTCTGACCCATAGCGACCCATAGTGTTTCCGAGGAGCAGCTGGTGAGCTTGAACCACTGACCTTTTGGTTCAAACAACTTTGCAGTCTGGCACATTAATCCACAGAGCCATACCAGAACACCATAAAACTATAGTAACCACTATTAAAGAAATGTGAAGCTATTGTTTCTTGACTTATCTGCCGTCTGGATCTATACACTATTTTTTTTTTTTTCATTATTATTGTTAATTGGGTGTAGGTTTACAGAGCAAATCTATTCCATTTATTAATTCATATAGGTCTGTACACATCCAAAAGCAATATTTCCATCTCTAATCCTTTCCAGAAGAATTCAGTTTACACCACCTCAAAATGACAGCTTTGACATCCTTGATGGTCTCAGATCATATTCTTTTGAAATGTTCTTTGATTTTTAGGAAGAGAAAAGTCTGAAAAGGAAGATCAGGGCTATAGGGTGGATGGGGTAATATTTGTCAGTGAAACTCTTATAGGATAACCTCTAAGAATGAATAGGTGTATTGTTGTGATGAGAAAATATTCCTCGATGCAACTTTCTTGGCCTTTTTCACACTAGTGTAGTTCTCAGTTTTCTGAAAACTTCTTTCATTAAGCCTATGATTGTCCTTTGTGCTTCAAGAAAATCTATCAAAATTATCCCTTTGGAGTCTCCCAAAAGAGTCACAATAACTTTGTATGCTGACCTCTCTGGCCCAGAAGATCCTCTAGGTAGCCCTTGTTTTAATTGACCTTTTTCTGAAGAAACCCTAAAGAGACTTAAGATAAAAATTACTGCAAGGACCCGTGTGCTTCCATCCACTGATCTCAGAGACATGTTTATACGCATTTGTTTAGAACAAACCAGTGTGTGTATGAGCTGGAACCCTAACACCAATACTTTTGACTTACCCTAGTATTTATTCTTAAAGAAAGGTATCTTATATCAAACTTTTTTAATTTTTAGTATACTTCAAAATGATTTTATTATTTTTAAGTTATAACATTATTTGTGAATGACAGCATTAGAAGTGAAGTCATCATTTTATATTTTAGATCTTGGTAATACTCTAACTACTCCAAATGTCAAAACCGTGAATGGTAAAGCTGAAAGCAGCGATAGTGGAGCTGAGTCAGAGGAAGAAGAGACCCGAGAAGAAGTGAAAAGAGCAGAACAAAGCAATAATGGTAAGATTTGGACAATGAACTAGTAATTTTACCTTAAGATAAAAGGATATGAACACATTTAGGCAGTTTTGGGGGGGTTGTATGAAATTAGTGCTTGTGATAAGATGTGGGCTGTGTACCAAAAGACTCTCCTACCAACTAAAGGGACAGTCAACCTTAGGCACAGATGGAATAGGGATTAATTGAAGGCTGACAAGAATAGGCCACTATGATGTTTTTTCTCTTTCCCACTTCACCCAAGTTAACATGCATCTATCCTCCATCCAGTGATCCACCCTCTCTTCACCTTCTGCCCCAGTAACCATCAAAGAATGTCTCTTTTAGTGTGAAAACTTTTTTTTTTTTTTTAACTTTTTACACCAGTGGTCTCATACAATATTTGTCTTTTTGTTACTGACATTTTACATAGAATAATGACCTCCAGGTTCATCCATGTTATAAAGTGTTTCACATATTTGTTATTCTTTAATGTTGCATAGTATTCCACTGCGTTTATATGCCATAGTGTGTTTATCCACTCTTTCATTGGTAGGCATTTCGATTGTTACTAAAAATTAAAGAATTACCTTGGAGGGGAAAAGACTGGGAGTAAAGACACAGAGAGATCTTTAAAGTTGAGAGAGATCCACTTTGACTTTGGATCCTGCACGGATACTTATTAACTGAACAATCTTGGACAAATTGCTTAACATCATTTCTTTTGCTGAAAAGGGGAATGGTACTCATTTCCAGAAAGAGCCCTGGTAAACTGGGTTGTTAATGGCAAGGTGAGCAGTTGAAAGCTACCAATCGCTCCATGGAAGAAAGATGAGGTTCAACCTGGAAACAACAGAGCTCTGTGACAGAGGAATTGAGGCATAGTCTGAATGGGTAAAAGAAGAGAAATAATGTTAAGATGCTTGACTGTCTTATGAATTTTGGTTTCCCTTGCATACTATTATAATATAGACACTTGAGGGAGAGAGAAAGGAATAGCTGGAAACATGATCATAGAAAGCTTATAAGCCTGTCTTCAGCCTATAACTGATTGGAACACCTAAAAGGGGTGCAAAAACTTGCCCAGTGAAAGGGCCTTCTTGTGTAGCCTTTGTAGTGTATAATATCTTAAGTAGAATCCTGATCCCCATCCAGAATCTTCTGAGGTGGGAAATTTTCTCTTGAAAAGATAAGCAGACCAGCCTGGAGCAGCTAGAGGAACAGAAGATACTTCTGAAAGAACGACCAGCAGGAAAAATCAAAAACAAAAACAGCAGTCTGATTTACTACCACTAAAACAAGCAAGTTGTCTTCAGGGGAGCCATCAAGACAAGCAATCAAGTCCTTTCAGGGCAAACCCCCTTCCAAGACTGAAACTCAATCAGGCATATAATCTTGCTAATCTTGCTGGTGACCAGTTTGGTCTACTGATGAATGAAAGTGGGGTAAAGTAGCAATGAAGATGTGGGCTGAGTCCAACCACGTTACATAGACTTCCGTCAACCAAGAGTATGGTGAGACCTAGGGACTCCTGAGCCCATAGACAAGGACATAGCTACTGAGGGCTAGAGTGGAGAATGAAGCATCTAGCTGATATGAAGTGAGGGGAGATGCACAAAAACACCCATACTTGCAGATAGTACCCATTTGACCTAGCTTCAGTGGCTCGATGATCAGAACTTGACTGGAAGAAAGAAGAGGAAAAAAAGTGTAATATGCTACAATTTGATGAACTTGACCTATACTTATGGATGTAGTAGCTTAAAATACCAACCTAGAGGGAAGGAATCTTCACAGCAAGAATCATTCCCATCCCCTCTGTACACAGGATTGATAGGGATGGGCAAATTAGACATTGGATACCTAAAATGGGGGGTGGGGTGGGCTATAAAGGCATGAAGTGATTGGCTTACAAGTTTTCAAGAGGGAGTTTAGTTTCAAAGGGTGCAAGGGAATGTAGTAGCTTCACTGAGTGGTTTCATCCTGTGTAGACAGGTCTGGTGAAAGGAGATGGGGATAAGATTCTTGTGGTTCAATAGTGAGTAATTATTATCAGGACTGGTTGCAATTGTTGCAACTGTAAAGATAGATGTTTTGTAGCAAAAAGAGGAGAGTAGTTGATTTTGCAGTCCAGGAGCGGATGACCTTAGGACCATCAAGGAAGAAGAGCGGGAGTGGAGCACGGGACCCTATTCAGAGAAGCAGCGACACTAGCAATGGAGCGGCTGGGGACTCTAGACTCAAGGAGGGAGAGGGGCTGTGTGCTGGCAGCTGGGGGGGCAGGCTTGCAGGGTATGCCCTTTGGGTGTATGAATGATTGTATATATATTCTTGAGTGTTTTGGTGTACATCCAAAAAAACCAACCAAACAAAGAAACAAACACAAAAAACAGAGGGAATAGAAGCAAATACTGTTGAATGATGATGTATGGAGGGGATGATAATCATTGCAATGAAATGAAATATGATAGGATGAGTGTAAAGTTGATATTCTCCCATGTATAAACTATCACTGAATTCACAATAAAAACTTCAAAAAGAAGAAAGAAAAAAAGATGAGGCTTTGTGCTCCCATAAGGATTTATAGCCTTGGAAACCCTATTCAGGGTTGCTATGAGTTGGAACCAACTTGGTGGCACACAACCACCACCACTCATTTCCAGTGTCATCCCTGGGCGGGACCAATAAAAAATTTGAAAAAGCTATTGTCCCACATGTAGTGCCTCAGAAATTGCATTAGAAATGTATTAACAACTTGTCGTCATTGTATTGATATCAACCCATGGCGACCCCAGTGTGTCAGAGTAGAACTGTGTTTCATAGGGTTTTTTTTGAAACTTGTATTGTAAATTGAATGATAGTTTACATGGGACAGCATTGATTTTACACTCATCCTATTGTATTTTGTTTCATTGCAATGATTACTATCCCCTCCATGCATCATCATTCAACAGTATTTGTTTCTATTCCCTGTGTTTTTGGGTTTTTTTGATGTACACAAAAACACTCAGGAACATATAATCATTTAAACAACCCAAGGGCACATACTGACAGCCTGCCTCCTGGTTGCCAGCACACAGCCTTTCTCTTTGCATGAGTCTCTAGAGCCTTCAGCTGCTTTTATCTTTCCATGTCCTCATCTCTGCCTCCATCTCTGGTGTTACTGCCTCTCTAGTTAGGGTCCCACATTCCGCTCATGCTCTTCTCCCTGATGGTCTTAGGGGCCTCTGTTCCTGGAATGTAAGATTAACTACACCCCCTTTTTATTACAAAACCTCTACCTTTACAGTTATGACAATAACAATTAGTCATGATAACAATCATTCACTTTTTATTTTGTTTTGAAGTTTTTATTGTGAATTGAGTGATAGTTTACATGGGAGAACATCAACTTTACACTGACTGTTTGACTGCAATGATTACTATCTCCTCCGTGCATCATCATTCAACAGTAGTTGCTTCTATTCCCTCTGTTTTGGGGGTGGGTGGGTGGGTATGTGTCTTCCTAGGGTTTTCAGTGACTGATTTTTCAGAAGTAGATAATCAGACTTTTCTTCCAGTGCTTCTCTGAGAACACTCAAAACTGCAAACTGTTCAGTTAGCAGTCAAGTCTTTTAAGTGTACCACCCAGAGACTCTAGAAATTTATTTGTTTCAGTTATTATTTCAACATAAATATGCCTGTGCTGCCAGAGATAGGAGACAAGTTAAACTTTCTGTGTCTCATTAATACTAGCATGGAAAGCAGAGAATAGGATACAAACTCAAAATGTTGATGAAGAGGGACGATTGGGGTACTACTACTACATTAAGGTTATTGCTCATAAGAATATCAGTAATTAATGGGAAAAATATTTCAGAAAGAGGAAGCAGGAAGATACAATAGCAAACCGTACAGTTTAATTTTGCCTTCCATTTTCAGTGAGGTATGATGAATGATACCTTCTTTGAAGGATCTTCTTAATGGTTCTTGATTGATTTGCTCTACTGGGTCTTATAGAGCAATTTTCCTGTGCTTGAAAGAGTTTAAAGACCTAGTCAACAAAGTTGGGTGAGTTTATGTCAAATGATAAACCTGCTTTCAAGGAGCCACCCTCTCTCTGATCCAAATACAAACCCATGTGCAGAGATTTTGATAGGTTGGGGAAATGAATCACAGATGTTGCAAAACATAGAAGATGTAGAAGTTGACCGATTATGAACTTTGATTAATTCCCTCCATTTTTTTCATAAAAGACAAGAAGATGATGAAAAAATCAGCAGACCATAACAGTTTGGAAATGGTTGTTACCAATGGCTATGATAAAGACAGCATTGTTCAGAATGACCTTCACACTAGTTCTTCTCTGAATGGCAAAAGCATTGAAGAAGTCAAACTTTTAGAGCAAAACTGTGAACAAACTGGAAAAACTACTGTCTGCATTCACCACGGTACTGTCCCTTAATAATTCTTTTTCCTATGAATCAAGTATTCCATTAGTATGTTTTGGGATATTTAGGAGCAATATAGGATTAAAAATGCTTATTTATTAGTATCTTCTTGTTGTTAAGTGCTGTTGAGTCAGTTCCAACTCATAGCAAGCTGTATAATGTTTCTGAATAACTGCTGGTGGGTTTGAACCTCCTTCCTTGCAGTTAGCAGCCCAGTGCTTATCATACAACACCACACCCAGACTCTAATAGCATCTTGTTATTGTTAAGTGCCATTGAGTCGGTTCCAATCCTTAGTGACCCTGTATAGTGTTTCTGGGGAGCAGCTGGTGAGTTTGAAACACCAAACTTGCCAGCGTATTAACCCGCAGCACCACAGTTTATTCATTTATAAGGAGTTATAGCTGTGAAGGAGTCCTTTTGTGACAAGATCGGTTTGAACCTCAAGGTTGGTAGTTCAAACCCACCAGCTGCTCCTCAGAAACCCTGTACAGGGTCACTATGAGTTGAAACCAACTTGCTGGCACTTAACGATGACACCAACCAACAGCTGTAAAAGACTGAATTAGGGTCAGGATTTTTATATTTTTCTTGAGAGTTTTTTTTTTTTAAAGCTTTTTATTATGAATTAATTGATAGTTAAAATTGCAGAAAGTTGCTTTTGCACTCAACCAATCACACTTTGCTTCATTGCAATGATTACAATCCCCTCTATGCACCATCAGCTAACAGTATTTGCCTCTATTCCCTCCCCTTCCTCCCTTGATGTGCACAAAAATACACAGAAATATACAATTGTTTAAACAACCGAAGGGCACATTTTGCAAGCCAGCATCCTGCCCATCAGCACACAGCCTTTCTTTTTCCCTGAGTCTACAGTCCTCAGCTGCTCTATCTACAGAGTTTTTTCAAATTGTGCTATTATATATAATATTAAAAATGTAATCCTTTAAGTTTTTACTTTTATTCATGATATTCTTTTAACCCAAACCACTGATGACATGAGACCTTTGCTGAAACTCAGTAAAGAATCTAATTTCTTAATTTAACATCCAAACTTGCATACTTGCATCCCAAATTTAGGCTTCTTAGCTTTTCTCTTATATGAATATTAGGTTTTATAAGGCTTGACCTGGACAGTATCTTTCTATAATTCAATGATAAAATAGTTTGCCATCTTTTCAAAGAAAATTTACTAACTAAATTTAAAGTATTGGTAAATGTAAAAAAATCTAACTTTGTCTCCAGATATTGTAGAGTCTTGGTATGGCACTGTGAGTTAATGAGCTGGATGGCAAAGTTGGTTTGAACTGCAAGATCAATGGCTCAAGTTCACCAGGCACTCCTTGGAAACCCTATACAGGGTCACTATGAGTTGGTACCAACTCAACAGCACTTAACAACAGCAACAACATGACAATATTTTAGAGGTGATGAATTTTTAAAATGGAAAATGACATGTTATTTCTATTAGCATGTAATTATTTTAAAATTATATTTAGATATAAACGATGATCATGTTGAAGATGTTTCTGGATTTCAGCATTTGACCAGTGATTCAGACAGTGAAGTATACTGTGATTCTATGGAACAGTTTGGACTAGAAGAGGTAAAAATTACATTTTCTAATTGGTAAGTTTTCAAAGTGGTATATCAGAGTTTAATACACAGTTGTGTTAGTATTAGGTATACTTGCTGTTCATCACTTTGAAAACATACCTCTAAAATGTTCAGACATATGTATTTTAAGTTACTTTTTGTGAATTAAAAATATAAAATTCTAAAGAGTGGAAGAAATTTAAATGATATTCAAATATATTATAGCATAAGATATCTATGTTTATAAATATTCTAGGAGATGTAGGGTGGTGAGGAATATGATAAATTCTTTATGCTAGTCTCTGTGTTGGGAACTAAAGAAAACTGAATAATTTTCAAACAAATCTGTTCTTAACATTGACTTTAATACAGTATATTCAAAGTTTGAGTGGAAATAATTTTCAAGTCTTAATTAAGATTAGTAATACAAAATGCATGTTTCTTTTTTTCTCTTTTATAATTTTTTCTGATGAATGATTAGGGTAGGTTTGACATCTGTATTTATGCTGGTGTTTCTGCATTTCCCCCATGCTAACTCATGTGTTTAGGTATGTCTTCAAGAAATTCATTTCTCTTTTGCCTTCCTAGAAGAATCATTTGAACTTTTTTCCCCTTTTTTCTTACATTATTCAATTAAATCTTCCTCTTTGGTTTCTCAAATTTTAAAAACATATGAATAGAATATTTTTAAATCAAAACCAGACACAAATGAGTAGTGTAAATGGGAAGAATAATGATGATTTTTATCTGGTATATGATAGCTGAGAATGAGCTCCAGTAAATGACAAGTGATGAAAGCCCAGATTCCCTTTTGTTTTTTCTTTTAAAAAAGATCTGTTTAGAGAAGGTTGGTGAGGAAGGAGTAGGTAGGAATTAATTTCAGTCAATAACCTGGTTACTGAACTCCAGATTTGCTCCTATTTTCTCTATTAATCAATAATTGTTGTTGTTGTTAAGTGTCATCGAGTAAGTTCCGACCCATAGCACCCTGTATAGGGTTTCTGAGGAGCAACTGGTAATCTTGAACCACTGACCTTGCAGTTCAAATGGCTTTGCAGTCTGGCATATTAACCCACAGCGCCACAGCAGGACTCCAATCGATAATTAGTAGACCAAAAATCTTCATAAGGCTCTACCTCATCTGGCTCCTACTTAACTTTCTGGCCTCTTGGCCTACATACAAGTTCCTCATGAGCACAATTAAGTGTCCTGGAATTCTCATTCTCTGCAATGTGGTCCATAGCTTGTCATGATTCATACAGTCGAAAGCCTTTGAATATTCATCTTTCTGATGCTCTGTTTTCTGCCCAGATCCATTTGACATCAGCATTGATATCCCTTGTTCCACATCCTTGTCTGAATCCTACTTGAACCTCTGGCAGTTCCTTGTCAATGTACTGTCGTAGCCATTTTTAAATTATCTTTAGCAAAATTTTAATTGCATGTAATATTAACAATACTGTCTGGTGATTTCCACATTTCATTGGGTCACTTCTCTTTGGAATGGGCACAAATATGGATCTCTTCCAATCAGTTGTCCAGGTAGCTGTCTTCCAGGTTTCTTGGCATAGATGAGTGAGTGCCTCCAGTGCTGTATCAGTTAAAGAATTTCAATCTGTATTCCATCAATTCCCAGAACTTTGTTCTTTGCCAGTGCCTTCAGTGCACCTTGGACTTCTTCCTTCTTGGCTCATGATCACATGCTGCTTCTTGAAATGGTTGAACATTGATCATTTCTTTTTGGTACAGTAACTCTGTGTGTTCCTTCCATCTTTCTGCATCCTTCAATATTTTACCCATAGAATTTTTTTCTTCAGTTCTTTCAGTTTGAGAAATACTAGGTGTGTTCTTCCTTTCTGGTTTTCTAACTCCAAGTCTTTGCATATTTCATTATAATATTTGACTTTGCCTTCTTGTGTTGCCCTTTGAAGTTTCATTCAATTGGAGCCCACTAATTAAGTAATTTAGGTGTATCATTATGAAGGTGTGGATTAAATTTCTTAAATTTGATCTAATCTGTTCTACTTATCCATATGATATTCCCATTTTTGGCCTGTAGAAACGTGTTCAAGTTGGCTTTTTTTTTTTTTTAAGTTTTTATTGTGAATTGAGTGATAGTTTACATGGGAGAACATTGGTTATACACGCATCATTTCATTGCAATAATTACAATCCACTGCATGCATCATCATTCAACAGTATTTGCTTCCATTCCCTCTTATTTTCTGTTTGTTTTTTTGGGGGGTGTAGGGGGATGTACACCAAAACACTCAGGAATATATAATCATTTAAACAACCAAAGGGCACATTCTGCAAGCCTGCCTCTTGGCTGCCAACACACAGTCTTTCTCTTTCCATGAGTCTAGTCAAGCTGGCTCTTAAATTACAAATCCAGAAGCCTTTGAAAACTTGATTTCTCTCTGTGGCCTCTTTTAACACCATTCTTGTCTTTGCTTTTTGTTCGTCACTCACCTGGCCTTCTCTCTGTTCCTGTAATATGTTAGGTCCCTTTGTTTTCCCTCCTCTTGCCCCAGAATCTTAAATTGATTGTGTTTAGAACGAACCTTCTCCTCTTTCACTGAATTAATTCCTTGAACATTCTCTAGTCCTTTGCTTATCTAGAAGAAATATTTCCAGATTAGATATGTTGTTGTTAAGTGCCATCAAGTCGGTTGCAACTCATAGGGACTATGAGTAGAGTTTCCAAGGAGACAGCTGGTGGGTTTCAACTGCTGATCTTATGGTTTTCAGACCAGTGTTGATCCTACAGCGTCATACCAGGACTCCAGATTAGATATATTGTTGTTATATGCCATGGAGTTGGTTCCAACTCATAGTGACCCCGTTACAGAGTTTTCGAGGCTGTAAATCTTTACGGGAGCACAAAATCTCATCTTTCGTCCATGGAACAGCTGGGACCTCATAACCCTGAGGTTAGCAGCCTGGTTCATAACCACTATGCTACCAGATACTGCTCTACCTAATCACCACCATCACCAGGTCTAGGTTCAGACTTTTTTGTTAAGTATCATCAAGTGTCAAGTCAATTCTGACTCATAACAACCCTGCATAGGATTTCCAAGGTCAACATGTGTCTATGGAACATGGTCGAATTCAGCCCATGTCTTTATTGCTGTCTTTCCCCCCTGCCAGTCAAAAGTATACCAAGCTGGTCACCAGTGAGTTTAAAGCCTACTTGTATGTTCCCTTTGAGTTTCAGTCTTGGAAGGGGACTTATCCTGATGAGCTGACTTTTCTTGCCTTGTTGGCTCCAAACTTGAACAGCTTGCTTGTTCATGTAACAGCCAAACAAAATGTTTAATTGTGTTATCTGTACGGTTTCATCATCATCATTATTTCCATGTATTTATCATTGACCAACAAGTTCTTTCTTGCTGTATTACCTGTTCCTTAAGACTTTCTAGTATTACCTGTTCTAAGGAGCCTTTATTTATTTGTCTCTAAATATAAGCAGTCTTGAAACCTTGTTTCATTATCACTTGACCCAATTTTTAATCTAACCTCAATCTAACATAATGTTATGCCCCACTTCTTTATTTATGACAGGTGATCTATAATAAATCATCATTTAAAAACTTTATAAATATGGGATTTATTTTTTCTTAAGATGTCTGTAGTGCTTTTGTTGTTGTTGTTCTGTATTGCTTTTTAACCTGATTGCTATCCTTTCTTTCTATGGTTATGGGTAAAAGAACAGCATCCCTTGGTTTGCTGAATCTCTGAGATGACAGAGGACTTTGTTTTCAAAGACTTCATTGCATTCAACAAATACCATTCAAAAGAAAGTCATCCTTTTTTTTTTTTTTATCCGTAGTTTTTGCTTTTGTCCAGGTTAAATAAGTGGAGTACTTTAAAAATCCTTTTTCCATTTGTTGGTTTAAGAGATTGAGTAATTAGGAGTTTTTGCATTGTAGAAGGAGCCCTAGTGCCACAATGGTTAAGTACTCAGTTACTAACCCAAAGGTTGGCAGTTCTAATCCACCCAGAGGCTTTTCGGGAGAATGCTCTGGCCATCTGCTGCCAGAAAGATTACAGCCTGGAAAACCCTGTGGGGCCATTGTACTCTGCCATCAGGGATTGCTGTGAGTAGGAAGTAACTTGATGGCACACAACAACAGCATTGCTTTGTGAAAGCTAAAAATGAACCATGTTCTAGAATAACCACTTAATGGAAAAGATGATGATTTGGAAGTACACTTCTGAGTACTAATATAGATGTGGAGAAATAAAATGTTTTATATATGCAGTTAAGTAAAAAAATATTGCTATAAAAATTATGGAAACATTTATTAAGCAAAAATATCAAAATGTGAAGCTTTTGCTTCTTAAAGTCTCCTCCATCTAGGTCTCTACATTTCTGAAGGCAGTGTTTTCATCTCTCTCACCCTTCCCTGGAGAATTCTCTGGTCTTTGATTTGCACCTTGTCATGATGACACTTTTGGCCTCCTTGAGGGACTCAAATCATACTCCTTTTAAATGTTCTGAGTTTGGGGAACAAACAGTATTCTGAAGGGGTAAGATCAGGGCAAGGTTTCCCCACAAAATTCTCGTAGGAAAGTTCTTGTTACTCTTTAAGCATGAGCAGCTGCTTTGTCATGATGGGGGGAAAATTTTCCTCAGTTCAACTTTCCTGGCCTTTTTCTCACAAATGCAGTTTTCAGTTTTCTTTAAATTTCTTCATAATAAATTGCTGTGATTATCCTGTGTTCTTTGAGAAAATCTATCAACTCCTTTGGAATCCCAAAAAGCAGTTGCCATACCTTTTTGGGCTGACCTCTTTGCCTTGAATTTAACTGGTCCAGCAAATCCCCTTGGAAAACACTGTTTTGATTGGACCTTTTTTTAAAAAAAGGCTTTTGAAACGAGTCTATTTAAACTCACAGCCATCAAGTCAGTTCCGACTCATAGTGACTCAAGGTTTTCTTTACTGAAGCGGACAGCCTCATCTTTCTCTCACAAAGCAGATGGTGGGTTTAAACAGCTGACCT